CCCCCCTCCCCCCCCCCCCCCCCCCCCCCGCCAATTCCCTGCACAAATTGGAAATGTATTCAGTCTGACAGCAACTATAGGATTTGGGTTTGTTTTTTTTTTAGTAGAGCTAAGAATTCCACAAATTGAAGGATCTTCTGGTATTATCTTTATAAAACTGCCTCTCATAATGTATTCTATTGTTATGAGAGGCAGTTTTATAAAGATAATACCAGAAGATCCTTCAATTTCTGGAATTCTTAGCTCTACTAAAAAAAAAAAAAAACCCAAACCCTGTAGTTGCTGTCAGACACTACCTTTTGTGATCTACCACAAGGCAGTGGGTCATAGATGATGTTTCAATGAGAGATAGATTGACCTAAAAAGCCTAAGACAGAGCCAGTTTCGTATAGTGATTAAGGCATCAGGCTAGAAACCTGGAGACCCTGAGGTCTAGTCCTGCCTTGTCAGAAAGCCAGCTGGGTGACCTTGAACCAGTCATTCTCTCTCAACCCTAGGAAGCGGGCAGTGGCTAACTACTTCTGAAATCTTGCCTTAGAAAACTGCAGGGACTTGTCCAGGCAGTTGCCAGGAGTCAACACTGACTTGAAGGCACACACACAAGCCTAAGTGATGGGTGGAGATGATTTCAATCAACTTGACAAGGAGAGGGGACTTTGAGATCTGTACATTTTTGTGTGCTTATTCCCATATTCTGCTTGCCCTGGCATGAAGATACCTAACTAAGCATGCATTAAGAACATTGAATGCCCAAAAACATTAACCTGCCCGCTGGCCAGTGTGAAGGCAGTCTCCACCCATTTTTCCTTGTTCCATGTCAAAAGCCATGCTTATTGACTTTTCCCGGCACAAGTTGGGCCAAGGAATGAATCATTCTGAAGTAAGGTTTGGGGCTTCCCTTGCTTCTGTTGGCCACTAAAACCCAATGCGGGAATACATGCCCTATCATCCCAGGCAACTGATTTTTAAAGCTATTCATTGGCAGCAAGAAATCGGTGCTACTCCACTCTGTCCAAAAAAAATCTCTCACGCTTCAGTTGCCCACCTGTGTATGACAGGAGTGGGAAGAGAAGGAGGAGTAAATTTGGGGGTTGCCTGAAGAGCTACTTTCTCTACTTTCTTTTTACAGGTGAAGCCTGCTGAACAGGTGTCAAGAGCTCCCTGCCCCTGGTTTTGTCTCAGGAGTACCAAATATGTTCAGTAGTTTTTTAGGGCTGAAGCCTCATGTTGGAGCTGTACCATGAGAGGGAAGTAAGACCTCTGTAGTACAGCTTCAAAAGCTGGAGCACCCATTTTGGACATATTTCCAGAGGGCTTCAGGAAGACTGCTAGTGGTGTGCATAAATGTAATGGGCTGTAAGAGTAACCTTGAGGAATTGGAGGAAGAGCCACAACCAAGACAGTCAGACAAAAGAAAGTTGAGTCCAAAGCAGAAATGTAATTTGAGAAAGCACCTCAGGCTTGACCCTCCCTAATACTCTTGAATGTAAAGGCAGGGAAGGGGAAGGCACATTCAGACCTGCAAGATTCTGTTACTATAACCTTATAATAAAAGTTGTATTAACATTCGTAACTTTGGTTTCCTAGTCTGGTCTACCTCAAAGGGTGGACAACAAATCACCCCTCCCACAGCTTAGTCACTGCAGCACCCAAGCCACAGGGGGCTGTCATACATATAAAATAAGTTCACACGGTCACAGCTGCCATCTTGACTTTTTGGTCCTCCCCCCTGCCTATGGATTCCAAAGGCTGATTCATGCAACAAGACTAATTTACAGTTCTGCTTGCTATGCTTCAAGCTATAATCAGGCTTATAATGATGAACAGACAATTTGAACAGTCCTTTATATCCTGTGATAAAAAGATGGAGAAAGTGCCTGTGTGCAGGTACATTTCTTGTGTAGTGAGGGCTTTTCCTCTCTTGTACCTAACCTTGGTACAAAATAGTGTGGCAACATTTTTTTTGGGGGGGGGAGGGGAAATTGCCCTGATTCCATGCCATTGCCTTCATCTCATCCCTGATCCTTGAGTGAGACAGCAGTTGGCCATGCTGAGGGAAAACCCCATGTACTGGGGTTTTCCCTCAGAAGCTGACAGCATCCAAGCAAGCTGCAAGGTATGTAAAATCTGTTATGCTTTGCCACCTATTGCACTGGAGGCAAAGTCAGGTCAGTAGCAAGTGGGATCAGAGTGGTGCTTATTGGCATCAGGCTATGAGCAGGGCCTTCTACACCAGTGTTTCTCAACCTTGGCAATTTTAAGATGACTAGACTTCAGCTCCCAGAATTCCCCAGCCAGCATGTTGGCTGGGGAATTCTAGGAGCTGAAGTCCACATCTTAAAGTTGCCAGGGTTGAGAAACACCGTAGACAGCTATTTTATTGTTATCATCCTAAAGAGCTGTGCTGGAGAGCTGTCAGAACCATGCAGTAGCCTTAGACAGCTCAAATCAATAGTACTGTAAGTGCTTTAATTTTTACTAGTTTAGCACAAAGGTGAAATAGTGGAATGAGGATGCCCTCATGTTAAATGGAAAATGCCTTGGCCACCTCTTGCTTTTTCCTTGTGCTGTGCTTTGACCATGTTCTCTCATATTTCTTGGTTATAGACAACAATGTGTGGCACTTTGACCTAGTTAGTCCAAGAGCAAAAGGATGATGATGAGCAACTGGGCAGCACTTGCCTGGATTCATGCATCTGATGGGATAGTTTTAGAACAGTTGGGCTGAATGCCTCAAGTATTTGCAGTTAAGAGGACCAGCTGGATGCATAATCAGGGGCAGTGGTGGAAATTCAGGGAAGGTGGACTGTCTGGGCCCCCAAAAAATCCAGCACTCCCTCCCCCCAAGTGTAAAAGTAACACATGCCATGTAACTAGAGTGCCAGGCATGTGAAAATGGCCCTGCACCTTAAAGCCATTTACAGCTTTAGCAAAATAAGAGGCCTGGGAATTGTGGTAACCAATAGTACTTGCAGGTATGCATACCTGGAAAGTGTACCAGATGTGCCACCTTTACATCAGCATGTGCAAATAAGGGTTGGGTTTGCAAATAATTGTCCGAACCAGTTGTTGCCTAATTTAGATAATTCTCTTGCCTACCACAGAATTAGGTGTAAGTTGCGGGGGGGCGGGGCGGGGATCAAGAAGGCACCTAGAATAGACATACATAAGCCTACTGTTCAATATATCTTATTCCTGGTGCAGTGCCTTGATTGGCAGATGTTTTTGCCACCAGCTGTTGACGTGCAAAAGAGGGGAGGATAGCAAAGCTGGAAGATTGAACTAATTGCTTTGTATACTGTGCACTGCACATGCAAGATCGGGAGAGCCCATTTGGGAGACGCAATAGAGGCAGGATAGGGATTGGCAATGAGGGTAGGATGTTTCTTGCTGGTTTTCTGTTGTCTAAAGGATGGGTGAATAGCACTTTAACTTAGCAGTAGGAAAAGACTCTGTGTGAAGACTTAAATAAAATTTAGAGAACTCAAAGACATTGTGGGAAAACATTAAAAGTGCAATAAAGTTGAAATCTAAAAATAGTCATTTCTTCTCCTGACAAAAGAATCCTATTCTTTCTCTTGTTTCAGGGGAATAGCGTCAAATGCTTTTGGTTGTGTGCAGATGTTGAATATGGGGCTGTATATATATTAAAGGCTGCTGCATCTAAAATGATTTGTATGAAAAAGAACATAAGGAATTGAGAGCTAACAACACCATGCTTATGTGAAGTACGGTTTCATTTTTAGCTCTCTAGCACTCCAAATTTTGTTTCCTTTAAAAATAAATACATAAATAAAATGTTTGTGGAGCTAATCTTGAAAATGTTTTAGACAAGTTTTGCTGAAAAGCTAAAAAAAAAAAAGAGTATTTAGATGGGAATGGATTCTCTTTTTAGAGAGTGGAAATGCTGTATTATACTTGGACCCTCTGATTCTCCCCAAGCCTTCTTAGATCCTGCAATGTAGCCTACCATCCTCTCTTCCTAAATGTTTGAAGCACTGCAAGGCAATACTGTAAATGTTATAACTGGAACAAATTACACTTACTGAAATCAGAGAGCATATAGTTACTGTTACACAGAGAGATTTTGAGAAAGCCAGAGAGATCAGG